CTCGTTGCTGTGCTTTGGCATCAGCTCATTCTTTCCTGCTAGCTCAGCCTTTGCTTTCCTGTTGGTCTCTGCAGCCTCCCAATGCACCCTGCCAAGAAGAGGAAACACTCCGAGTCACCCCCCAACACCCTCAATGCACAGATGCTCAATGGGCTGATAAAGCAGGAGCCAGGTATGGGGTCTGTGCCACTCAACCCTGACAGAGTCCAAACGCCTCCCTGGCACCAGCCGGGAGCGCTTTCACCAGGTATGTGCTTTTTGCTTCCCTCTCCCCTCTTAACACCCCCAGCATGCAAACCCCTGTGGCCAGCCCAGTTGCCCTGCTGGGCTAGGGTGCCTGGGAGGAGGGTATATGGGTTTCAGAGGGTACCAGCCAGCAATACTCACCCCAGCTGGGCCCCCAGAAGGAAAGCAGGGTGATATGCTTCTCTTGGCCTAGATCTAGTGCTCACAGTGGTGCCCTGGCACTCAGGAGGCAGGCTTCAGGCTGGCCACGTGGGCATTGCCAGTAGTTTCTTTGTGCTCTTGCCCACCTACATCTTGCCCACCTAGATGCCTTGTCAGAGTGATTTAAGTACATATTTCCTTCTCACCGCAGGCCTGATTCAAGATAATGACAGCTTGAATGGCTCCTACCTGGATCCTAACTACCAGTCTATAAAGTGGCAGCCGCAATAGCAACAACTCTATATGATGCCAACTACAAAGAACTGTGAGTCATTCATCCACCTTTGGAGAAAGTTAGATTCACCTTTTCTTGTCATCAGTGGTAAGGGGCTAGGTTTGGGGGGAGGCACTCACAGGATGGGGCAAGGGTCATCTTGGGCTGCCATTTGTCCTCTTCTGTCACCTGAGGATCTTTGCTTGCCTACGTGGTGGTGGAGATACCCCTGCCTCGTACCTTTGCCCTTAGGAAAGTTACTTCTCTGCACTTCTGCAGGGCTGGTGAAGTATTAAGAAATGGGGTTGGCTGTGCAGGTCAAGACAGTGGACGGCAATTTGGTGGAAGCTCTTCTAAATGCCACTCAAACCTTGGTCTGCCAAGCTTAATGGGTGTGTTGTACTGACAAATGCAGCCTTGCCGGAGCATGGCTCGGACTAGCAGGACCCTTTTCTCCCCGTCCAGGCTTACCGAAGTCCTGGATTTTAAAATCAGCATTCAGATTCACTGGACAATGCATGGCATGAGTGACTGTGAGGTGTAGTCCAGAGCCACTTCAGCACAGCCTGGGAGCAGTCTAGAAAGGAGCCTGATGAGGAGTGGGAATGGCTGATGGGTAGAAAAGGAAAAAAGAGGAGAAGGAAAGTAGGAGGGAGAGAGGAAGAGTGTTGAGTGAAAGCTGGGAGGCTGGGAGGGTCAGGAAGATGGCAGAGAGGCAAGGATAGTGGGTGGAGAGGAAAGCCTGATGTGGCTGAGGCAGACAGGGAAGCAGAGAGAAAGGCTGAGTGGAGAGAAGCTGCAGTGGAGAACAAGGCTGAAGAGGGAAGGTGGGCTGGTAAGGTCTGAGCTGGACTGAGAGCTGGAAGGAAAGGCTGGAGCAGAGGGAGGGTGGAGGCAGTGGGTAAAGATGAGTGCTCAGTAAGAAACCACTCTGAATCCTCCCTGCATTCCTCAGAGGTGACAGAGAACAGGCAAGCAGCAGGCTGGGTTCCAGGAACCACTTGCCGAGTAAACACCCCTGTTTCCCCTCTTCACGTTTCTGCACAGTCAGAATCTGACATGGGCCCTCCCAGGAGGCAGGGAAGAGAGGGACGCTGTTTTTTGCCATACCAAAACCACAAAGTTATTTTGATAATTTGCCTAGGTGGTGTTCCAAGGGACTAAGGATACCTTGGCAGTTATGGAGGCAAAGAAAGGTCTGTGACATGTAGGGAAGCTGCAGTTGCAAGGCCCAAGCCTCTTGTTCAGGGATCTCCTGGTCAGCCCAGCTGTCGTCCCTGTGTTGTGGGTTATTCCCCTGCAGAGGAGAAGTGGCTGATGGATTCATTTACTTTGATGACATCCTGTCATTTGCAAAGGCTGTGTGTGTGTAGCTATTTCCCTGACTACAGCAAGAGAGGGGAATTTTGGGTGGTAGCCGTGTCTGTTTTACTGAACCATTACCATAAAGGAGCTTAGCAGCTCCTTATGGCTGTTAGTGAGGGCAGCTGTTATACTGAGTGTCATTCCCTGTCTCAGTATCTTCCACCTTCAGGTGGACTAACAACACCCTTACTGACCTGTTCCTGGCAGGGGAAAGGAGAAGAAGGGAAGTGAATAACATGACAGTCTGCAATTTCTACAGTCCTTACCTGGAACAATAGGCTGTTTCCTTCATGAACAGCAACATGCTCTGTGCTACCCTTTTAGACATTGCTTCTCTTTCTTTCACTGATGGTTTTCTCCACTGCTTTCTACATCTGGACTGTATTTTACCTTGTATAGGTTTAGGGAAGTTCCTGCAGTCTCTCTCTGTCTAATAGTTTTAAACCCATGATATAGCCTTAAATCCTCCTTCTCAGGGTATTTAGTAGTCTGCTGAAGTGGGTGTCTCCTCTGCAGAACTTTAACTTCAAACTCCAGTGTTTTGTCTGTGGCCTGGAGGTTTTTCCTTAGAGTGCTATAGCTTGGCACCTTCCCAAAGGGCTCCATTTGCCAAACTATTTTCCCATCACGTGCTGTATTGATAGGAGGGCTACTTCTGTGAACTTCTGAGTAGCTCCAAAGTCCAGTCTTGTAGCCCTGCCCCTCTTCTCCATGATCAGTTTGCTTTTGTGGGAAGGGGGGACTTGGCCATCTCTCCCTGCATGTGCACACACACTGGAGTCACTGTTTCCTTGTTCCTGCTTTCCTGCATAGAGCAGTGTTTGCAGTTGATTTCCTCACTCCCACCTCCCTGGAGCGCTGTCTGGACATGTCATCTCTGTTACTTGACTCTGAACCAGGGCCTGGGCATCATTGGGAAGTTGTGATGCTGCAGTTTTCTTACCTGGCAAAGTGCCTCTCAGAATTCCTGAGTATGAAGAGTTCTTATGGGAACAGGTGGCCTGCTTGGTCTAGGGCCCCTCTCATTTGAGTGCAGAAAACACTAGATGGAGCTGTCACTAGGAGGTCCTTTCAGTCAGGGCAGTTGTTCTCCCAGTCCATCTTCAGTTGTTGCTGCAGCTAACCACCCCTCCTCCCAGACTCTCTTTTCATGTCAGTACTGCCTTTGGCTGTGAGCATTAGTATCTTTGCCCAGTATCAAAGGGGCTCTGAAGGGTAGAGGGGTCAAGAGAGAAGGAAAACCCTTTTCAAACTCAGGCAATGCTTGGTCACAGTCTTTCAGCCCCTGAGGTGGCCTCTCTTCTGCTTTCACTCTCAACAGTGCTTTCGCCGTATAGCAGAAGCACAAGTTTACCTTTAGAAAGAACCAGGGTAGGAGCAAACCTTTTGCATGGCCTTGCTTTTCTCTCAGACATAATGAATTCCCCTTTTCCTCCCATCTTGCTGTTTACATGTCCTGGGTAAACAGTCTCCCATTTGAACGATGTCACAGCTCCCTGGCCCTGTTTCTCATTGGCAGTGTTCAGCTTGTCACAGACCATTTGCCAGATGTTACAATTCCTGTTTCAGAGATTTACCTTGCACCCAGGTATAAAATAAGCAGTGCTGGTAGGCTATGCAATATTTTTTGCTGGGCATAGAGAAGCTGGAAGCTGCTGGACTACTGCAAGCCAAGCTTCAAACTCCCACAAACCTAGCCCTGCCCTGCTGTATTCTTTGGATGAATGTCTACTTGCTAGTACCTGTTCTTAGGATTTAATGTGAAAGCCAGAGCAAACTTGCTTTTCCAGCATTTAGGCCATCATCCAGTTGTGTAATGGATAAATTCCTTTGAAAGGGCTTCATGTAGTTTTTAGAAATCCATGTGCAGTTTGGTGTGGTGTGGATTTGACTGGAATTAAGGGTTACAGTCAAGGGTTGATCGACAATTTTTTGTTATATACTACCTCAATGGATTCTTCCTCCTTTTTAGGGGGTTAGCAGTAAGGTAGCACTAGGAGAGCCTGTGCAAGCTGAACCTACATCTGTTTCTAAATGGAAAATCACTTAGACCATTCTCCTGGTACAGCACTGCACCAGAAACAAATCTGTGAGAAACTCCAAAAGGTCTTCTTTCCCTTGTTTCTTTTATACCAGCATTCTTTAGGTCCATCAATTCCTGTATTAGTAGCTATGAGACTCCTTCTTCCTCCTTTTTGCCTTCCGGATATACTCAACAAATGACCAGGCATCTGTGTCTCTTTGAGAGCCACAAGTATTTCAACAATTTAGGTTCCTGTGAACCTGTGAAGTGACGTCTCCTGGGAACAGATAAAGATTATGTGGTCCCAAGCTCTTTGGCTAAGGATGAGCAGTACACGTATACAGTGCAGAGCTCACAGCATCCTCCTTGTTATAAGGTACATTTTGCAGTCAGAATCTGCAAGTAGCTGAATCCAGTGGTCTAGCTGAGCAGGTTCACCAGCAGCACCTGTGGATCTGCTGGCAGCCATTTGCCTTCCCTTTCCAGTGGCTTGTCCTTTCACAAATGTGGATGCTAACTGAGGCTGCTAGAAAGGTGAGGCCATCTCTGCCTTAAACTCTAGCTTTTTTTTCTTGTTTCTTGCAAAGAGGCCTTCTAAAGAACTAAATGTGCTCTGATAAGTGTTGGATGGTGTTGGGATTTGAGGAAACCTTTTCTTGCACCAGTTTCTGCTCACACTGCTCTTAGGGAAGACAGTATTCTGGAAAGTCATGGCTAAATGCTGATCATTGCTGCCTTAGCTACACACCCTCCCACTCCATGCAACGGCCCTCTCTGTCACGAGAGGAGCAAAGGGGAACAGGGCCCACATGCTGTGAACTGAAAGTGTTTAGTTTTGACACAATCTTCCTAGAAACAAGCTAGATTAAGGAGGGGCGTATCTGAAGAATGGCACACACAAAGAGACGGCTTTAGTTCTCCAGTCTCCCATTGAGTGCTGACACAGGGCTATCAGGAAGATGGAGAGCTAGCTCCCCAACAGTCAGTAATAATTCTCCCTTTTATTGTCAAAACCCTTTACAAATTTCCTGATGCAGAGCTGGGGTCTGGTCCAGTTCAGTCCAGTGCTCATAGCTGCTATGAGCACTCTCCCTGTCTCTTAGACCTGCTGTCCCACGCAGCCTCTCTCTTCCACTTAAATGAACAGTTCTCCTGTCATAATCAGGCCAGTGTGCCTCACTGAGGCCACTGTGGCATCACTGAAGGGGCTGCAGTCTCTGATTCTCCTGCACAAATGGAGGAGGTGTCTCCTACTGTGCATGACCAGGCTTCCCCAAAATGGAGGCAAGGAAGGAAGGGTTACTGTATGAATTTGAATTGAGGTGCCTGGAAATCTTTGTCTTGGCTTGGTGGTCTTAGGGCTCAGGCTTTGCTTATGTGGCTGAGGAATCTGTTGGTTTAAAGAGACCAAAGTCTCTGGATTAGTTTTACTGATAATATATTTCTTCCTGTCCTTTTGCACTAGTTTTGTGGTTTCAGACTCACTGAACCTTCGAAAGGGTTAGTTAGTTTCCAGCAACGGTGCTGAAGAGGCCTGGAACAAGGCAGTTCACTAATTTACTCCTGAGGGCAGGAGTAATTCATCTCTCTGACAGCGTGCTCTGATAAATCCCAGCAGGCTCCTTCCTCCCTCTCTCCATTTGTTTACAGCTTGAGGTAAGGCAGCTGGTGAGGGGTAGTGCAGAGCTGAATAGAAACATTTCCGTGCCGAGGCCAGAGCCTCTGTGCTCTGACCTAGGGAACTGGGATAGGGTTGTCCCATTCCCATCAAGCAAACTGGTACTTCCCTCGTCTACTACTCTGAAGCCAGCCACAGCTCAGGCCTTCAGGCTGAACCTAATCTTTCATGCTTGCACTCCTTGATTTGAATAAATTTTCTTAGATACAGCGCCAGACCTGTCCTTACTGCAGAACCTGGATCTTAGCAAAGGGACAGAGTCCAGTATGACATAGTCCAATCCTGCTGACAGGGCTTTCAGATTGCCCTGATGGCATAGAGTGTCTTGGGCAAATCCCTTTCGCCAGCTGGCTCCCAGAAGCAGAGTAGGCTTGGCAAATCCCTTGGTGTTTAACTACTGAGGTCTTGATCTCTCTCTCTCATGCAGTGAGTGTGTCTCAGGCATCTGAAGGGGCCGTGGATGGATGCTGAGCCTTGAACAAGCTGGTGTGGTTGAGTCAGTCTAACATAGACTGGGTGAGATAGCACGCTGGTGCTGCTCAACAGTAGGTTCCTATTCTCCATTCTGGCATTTGTATCCTGGAGGAGAAACAAAGTGGAGACTGAATGAAATTAGTGAGTGGCCCCTGAATTAGGGGTTGTCCAGGCATTATGTCTGGAACGGATGAGATATTGGGGAATCTGGAAGGAAGGCGGGAAATGAAAGAAAGATGGGGGAGATCTTTCTTCTAGAGAGGAAGCAACTGATGGCATGTGAGTATCCTTCGACAATCCTGGTTCTCAGCTACAAATGCAAATACCCTTTTTGTCAGAGATGTTTCTTCCTGCAGTATCTTTTCCTTTGCTCTGCACCTTAATGTGGAGGGTGAGGGTGCTTGATTCTCCCTGCTATCTCACTGCTCCTCTAAGTCTTGATGCTAGACACTGCCAGTGGGGAGTTTGTAGCCTTTCACTCTCACTTGACAGTAGGAGAGATCTCTCCTCCTCTGATCCTGGCCTTCTGAGTCCTACGTCAATCTGCTTTTGTCAGTAAAGGCCTTTTGGCTAAAATAATCCTTTTGACCCCAGACCTTTTATATCTAACAGTTTGCCATCTGACCCTTGCACTCTTGCTGGAAGAAGACAGCATTGCTCTGACTACTGCCAAGCCATTGACTGGTCAGCAGAGGCCAGTCTACAGCTAGAATCTTTCCTAGTCCCAGTAACCAGTGTTACCTGCTGTCCCTTCCATTAATGCTACATTTGCAGCACCCAGAGACGATCTCTCAAGAGGGATACACTGGCCAGCCTGCCTACCCAAGGACTAGTATCTGGGCAGGGAGGAGAGAGGCTGGGTGGCAGTGACTCTAAAGGAGTGGGTTGAGATGAAGTGGAGGATGTTTTTAAAAGTATCATCTGAGTCCTTATGATGCTGGAGGCAGTGATGTCCCTACACAGCATAGCAGTGGAGAAGTGGCTTTGTTGCTTCCGAGTGAAACTTAGAACATGAGACTAAGCAAGCACCAGGATAAATGATGCAGTGGATAGGATATCCCAGCCTGCAAACAGTTTGGAGTGGGGTGCAATCTCTGAGAGCAGTTACTTGGCTCAGCTAGAGGTGGCAGGCTGAAAGCAAAGGGCTGAGTAGTTCCCTCCCTTCTTTTATACCTGAGGGGCTGGTTCTTGCCTCAGACCTACCCTGGGAAGTTTCCCTTCCAACCCTGGCTGGGCAGAGATCCCACTCTGGGGGCTACCATCAGTCACAGCCAACTGTAAAGCTCTGTCCTTCAGGAATGCAGGGGAAGGGGACCTCTGAGAACAGTAATCTGGAGGGATAAGGCATTTCTGGAAGACGGAGGAAGGGGAACCTGAGTGTCTGTTCTCTCTCAGCACATGTGTAGCAGCCATCAGTTTGAGTGGACATTAACCAGAGCATGTTTCGGAAGCATCGCTCATTTGGTCAGTCCCTCTCCTTCCTCTGCATTCGCTATAACAAAAACAGTGGGGTGAGTGGTTAATGATCAGAGATTCTAGGTACACAGAACCTGTGGCATCTCAGGAGAGTGAGAGTTAGTGGAAGGAGTCGGGAAAGGCACTTGCATCTGCTGGGGGTGCCGTGACCACAAGGGTTGGGAAAAAGCTGCTGTGTTTGTGTAGTGAGTGGGGAGACGGAACAGACATTTGTGTGTGGTGAGGGCGGCGCAGTCGGAGACACAAACCTGAGGGAGGTTGTCAGCTTGAATTGCATGAAGGAGCAAGGAACCAGAGAGTGGGACGAGACGGGCCAAACAACAGAGCAGGAGGAGGCCTCCTGGGATTCCTACTGCTCACCAAGAAATGGCTGCCCCACACAGAGCTGGGGTTGGTCAGGCCAGCCTTGGCTACGGTTCCCCGGTGAGAAGAACCAGCCAGAGAATTTGAGGCTGAAGCTATGAGGAAGGCACGAGCAGAAAGGAATTCCTCTCATACTTCTGGGCTAAGGTAGCACTCTGCTTCCACCATCTGGTTTGTGTTCAGGGCACATCACAGGCAGCCCAGGGTCCCTTGGGTGCAAAAAATAAGTAGTTACTCACAGAGCCGCCCAGGCATTATTCATGGCTGCCTGGAAATACCCCACAGTTTTCATCCAATGTTAACCCCTTCCTACCTGGGGAATCCCAAAGGGATCATGCCCAGGAGCATGATGTGAGGTGATGTGACTGGCAGCTGGTCATGATAGCTCTATAGGAGCAGTAACATAGATGGGGAAGAACCAGTCCTGTGCTGGCACTGCGTGGAGTAGGCTGTAGCTGGCATTGTGAGAAGACCTGTGGGTCCCAGAACACTGCTGTGCTGTATTAGAGTTCAGGATTGCAGTCCAGTAAAGCTGGGCTCTCAGTGTGACCTTGGGCCAGGCTTTATCTGTCTTGACCTCAGCTCCTTGCACTCTTCAGTGTGGGTGCTGTCCATGCAACAGGGAGGCCTCAGTGAGACTGATCCACCAGATTCTGGGCATAATATCTTGAGCAGATGATCTTTGTCTCCTGTGTGTCAGCACACTGCAGGACTGCTCTTGGCACTAGGTGGCCGTGGTGAAGTACTTCTCCTGGAGCATATCTAGCTCTTGAGAAGTTCCTCATACCTGCTTCTCTCATCCTGCTCTTGTCTGATTATTTGACTCTGTGTGTAGGGGGGTGAGATTGGCATTTCATCCCAGAGGAAAGGAGGCAGTCAGCCCAGGGACACAGCAGGGAGGCAGAGGGGGATGCGACAGAGAGTGACCCTTCCATAGCTTCTGCTCTCTAGAGTCTGCTGGACTTGCTAGTCTGATGATGTCTGTCTCATCCATAGCTGTCAATCTGTTTGCCTTCCCCTTCCATTGCTGTACTCACTGGGCATTATCTGTCCATCTCTCTGGTTAGCTCTGTTAAGAAGGACGTTGGGGGTAGTTTGTTTCTGTGGAAGAGCACTCAATAACTTTTAAGCCTGATGTAAGAGGCAAGGCTGAGCTCCCTTTTACCTCATGCAAGTTTCCTTGAGTAAAAAGAATGGCAAAAAAAGTGGGATTTGAGAGTTCTATTAGAAATTCTTGATGGGCAACCTGGATGAGAGGCATCTCTCTCACCCCCAATGTGTCAGGCATGCAGCATGTGCCAGGGGCCCACCAGCCCCGAGCCTGGATTTTTGGTTGGTGGGAGAAAGGGGACTTGCTGCAAAGGCCACATATTTCCTTTGTTCCCATGGTAACCACCCATTAAGGAGATGTAGATTAAACCTTCCCAGCTGGTGCGTGTTTCTTCTCTGCAGCCAGGGTCCCCCTCCTCCTTTAGACATGGCAAGGTGGGAGCTGGAAGCTATTAAGAGCAGCCAGAGCAGGTGGTTCTGATTTCCTCAGGAATCCACTGCACAGACAAGTACTGCCTGGTAGTAGGGCCAGGGTAGGTGACTTAGGGAACGTGACAGATGAAGCAAGCAGAGATGTGGGAGTTCTCCTTGGTTGGCCTGAGCTGCTTCTACCAGCAATCAGCTCAACTGGAGTCTGACCCAGGCCTTGGGCAGGCTGGCGCTGACCAGTGCAGTATGCGGAGCTCTGTTATCTCCAGCATGCATTGAGTCAAGGCTAATGATCTGCACTTTTTAGAAGCAGCATCTCAGAAAAGAGATGATAGCCTGTTGTGGCTCATGGTTGTCAAGAGTCCTGTAGCCCCTTTTATAGTAGAGGGGAATTTGCCCCAGCATTCTCATCGAATCCTAGTCACAGAAACACAGTCACCTGTGTTTCTTTGCAGTTGAAGACCCACCTAAAGCAATATTTACAATTTCAAGATGGGGTTGCTGTGAGGACTTAGACAAGGTGTTGTATTCACCTCAGACAGTGCTTCCCTGTGCCACTCAGTCAGACAGGCACTTTAGAGCAGCATCAGTGTAGCCCAGGATGGACTGCTTGCATGACCTCTGCAGGATGTGCTCGTGCTCTGCAGAGTGGGCTAAACAACACTGTCTCTTTTGCCTCAGTGCAACCTCGTTCTCCTCCCATGTGCTTGCTGTGTCTCAGGAAAGTTTTGTGCCTGTATGTGTGAATAGAGGTGGCCTTCACTATCTGTGGTGAGGTGGGTCAGTTTGTGCCACAGTTGCTGTTCATGTGTGACTGGACATGGAAGTGAGCTGTCCTCCCTACTCCTCCCACCTCCTGGTAATGGAGGTGGTGTGATTCATGTGCAGCTGCATCCTGGCACATGGCCATGTACCATGCCATATGGACCCCTTGCTCAGACAGGGGCTGCAGCTGCTTCTGGGGGTGTAGCTCATTCTCCCCCACCCCCAACATAAACCTCTAGTGTTGTGCACAGGGCTTTGGTCTAATGCCTGCTGCCTTTTCCACAGCCCTATGCTCACATACCGTGTAGATGCCGACAAGGGGTTCAACTTCTCAGTGGGTGACGACGCCTTTGTGTGCCAGAAGAAGAATCATTTCCAGGTCACAGTCTACATTGGCATGCTTGGAGATCCCAAGTATGTGAAGACCCCCGAGGGCCTGAAACCCTTAGAGTGCTTCTACCTGAAGCTGCACGGAGTGAAGGCAAGCAGGAGCTAAGACTTTAGCAGGGAGAAGGGGTGCATGACAGATGGCTGGAATCAGGCAACACTACATGTCTGTCACACATTAAGTTGTAGGGGTATGTGTAGGAGAGTGTTGAAGGCCAGAACAAGGTATATCTCTTGCTTGTGCTTTTCATAGAGCTCACAGTGTAGATGGCAGTCATGCCTGGGTCAGCAGATGAGGGCCGATACTGTCCCGGGCTCCATGATTGTCTTCACACCACTTCACTGCTGGCTGGCTGAAGCCTGTCTTCTGGCTCTGCTTGCAGGCAGGAGACAAGATGGGAGTGAGCAAAGCCACCGTCTTTGCAGCTAAGAGGTACAGGCAACAGAAGTGCTCCTTAGGGAATTAGGCATGGCCGAACTTGTGCCTGGGTGTATCTGCATCTAGGCCAGTACCTGGAAGATGCCATTTGGCCTGAGACATGCGGAGAGCTCCAGCCCCTCTCTTCAGCAGATTCATAGTGGCAGAAGAGGAGTAGAGAGGGGTGCAAGGGAAATGTGGCACTTTCTGAGTACTGGGTTTGATGTAGGTTGGAGAAGGGCCCAGTCTTGTATCCCAGGACTGGATGTAGATGGATTCGATCACTGTCTGGGTGTCTTCAGGGCTGCCTCTCATTCTCCACTGACTGCAGAGGAATATGGGCACTTTTGAGAAGATCCTATCTCCTTTCACTCTCAACCTACCCCCTGCCAAGGGAAGCACTTATGCTTGGATAATAAGCGCACTGAAGTTAGGTGTTGTAAGTTAGTTGTACTGGGTCATAGGAGGGGCTGGGCAAACAGCTGACATATGCAGAGTCTGGGGAAAAGGATCTGGGAAGGGGAAGGTCCTGACTTTACACTGTCACATGTTTGAATCTTTCTCTCCAGCTAGAGGCCTTGAACCAGTCAATCAACATAGAACAGTCACAGTCTGACCGCAGCAAACGGCCATTCAACCCTGTCACGTGAGTATTACCAGGGGTATGTTCATGTGGGGGAATTGCTTTTGGAGAAGAAGCAAGAGGGTGGGGAAGGGGGCTGGGTTGGAGGCCTCAGGATAGTACTGTGGGCATAACACCCTCCATTTTTCTCCTCTGTCTTCCACAACAAAATTTTTCCTCTCTTTACATTCCCCACTCCATCCTGTGTTACCTGAGCCTTTGCCAAGTTCATACACTGCCATGGTGGAACAGGCCAGGAGAAGGCCATTCCCTGAGGATCCTCCTCTCCAGCAGTGTCCTCACTCATGTCTGTTTTCCCTTCCCCAGGGTCAACTTGCCTCCAGAGCAGGTCACCAAGGTCACTGTGGGGCGGCTGCACTTCAGTGAGACCACAGCCAACAACATGCGGAAGAAAGGCAAACCCAACCCGGACCAGAGGTGAGGAGTGGGCGAGGCCTTCTCCAGGCTGTTCTTGGCACTCAGGGCCTGTGGATGTGCCAGCCCCTAGCTAGAGGAGTGTACCTGGAATCAGGGGGGTCAGGGGAATGGGGCCTGAATGCCAATGTGGAGGAAAGAGGGTGTCTCCTGTGCCCACAAGAAGGGCCTCTCCCACTGTATATAGGTTTGTGGATGCTGGCTGTGCCCCACAGCATAAGGGGAGGGAGGTGATATGCCAAGCCTGCCGTGATGGCCTGGTACTTGCAGCCTCGGAGATGAGCCAGACTCAGTAGTTCCCAGTGCATTGCTCCTGCCAGAGGAATGGCATCCTGATCTGTCTCCCCTCTTGTCAGGTATTTCATGCTTGTGGTAGCTCTGCAGGCACATGCCCAGAACCAGAACTACACGCTTGCAGCTCACATCTCTGAACGCATCATCGTCAGAGTAAGTCACCTGCTTGTCTCTACCTGACTTTTAGGATTCCTTTCTCCTTTCTCAGCCTCTTTGCTGGACTGCCTGGGCAATTGTCCTGCCTTTCTCTGTTTTTTCAGTTCTTTCCCCTCCCAGCCCTTGTCAACCTTCTCCAAAATATCCCTGCCTTGCCTGTAGCTATGCCTATCT